CTTTAAGCCGTATACATTCTTTTCAGCACCACAAGGGGAATGTAGTACTAGTGGAGCTGAGCTTAATCTAGTAATATCGGAGCTCCGACGATGAAATAGCATTAGGCTTACAGGTGCTTACGATAAGCCCGTGTTTATATCTATTCGAACGATATTGTTCTTCCTGATCGGATTAACTCTTTCTGCAATGACATTTAGCATAAGATTGTTGTTAATAAAGAAGCACTTTTGTGCTTATGAGAAAAAATAATATAATTTTTTTAATTAAGAGAAAATTCTCTCTCAAACAGTTCTAGGAGATTTGTTTAAATTGTAAACTGGTACTGTCTGACATCGAAGGATTAAAATCGCCATTAGCTTGCTTCTAAACAGCTTTCGAAAGATTAAGCCGTCACAGCTTTGCCAGCGGCTAGTTGTGCCACCGTACTACCTGCCATAGAAATTACTTCCGTTGAAATCCTTCTACAATTCACTTTTTACAATTCACTCTCTTAGAAAGACAACTGTAAAAAAACTTCAACTTTTCTTCGAATTTCAGAAATATTTTCTGAAAGTGATGGAAAAAAATCTAATATGTTTTCTACGTGAAAAAAGGTTTTCTTGCTTTCGATCGCTTACCAGGTCACTGATACCGAAGCATGGGACTGTAATAAATTGTAAAGGGCCTATTTTCCTTCCCGTCTTCTTAGTTTTGAATTATTGTGGGAAGTTCCACATTCCAGGTATTATTAATAATCAGTCGCTTAGATGATTATTTCTGCTCTCCAGCAATGCTTTATCACAGCTAAACGTTCGGCAAGAATTGATATCATAAAAGCTCTGGAATTCTTAAATCTAGCCGAAGCTTTGTGTTTATCTCACCTTTCTTTTCTCCCATTGTACTTTTTAAGTTTACGAAAAATCTCAGCTGCTTTATCTAGTAAGTTGAATAGATTACTTTTGCTTAATTCATTATAGCTCTATTATTTTTGCTTAATTTACTGTTGTCAGTTGGCGACTTTATCGTAACACATCAAGTATCCCTATATCTTCGTGGTCGACCAAAGTCGTGCCACATGCCTATTGGTACTTGTATTCGTTTCCTTTTTTAAAACCCTCATTTGGGCAGAAATGCTAGAGGTTTGCATTCTCCGATCGCTTCTACATATTACAGTACTAGCTAGTAACTAATTAGCGTCCTCTGTTGCGCAAATTTTATGAAAAAATTTTTAGGAAATCCAACGCATTGATGCGGTAGAACAGCGCGCAGTAACAATTACGTTTCATGTTTTGTCTTATATTTGTCTTATTCCAAAAGGAACACTTGCCCTGCTGTTTGTCCTGTTTGGCTCTGCCCAGTGGTACTTCTTTAGGTATCCACTCAAATCAGATTAAAATGCACGAGTGATGCGCCGCCACTGCATGGAGCACACCGAGTTTCATCTTCAAACAGATATATCGAGGATTGTTGCGCAACCTTTTGCTGACGCATTCCAGCATCGTCGTGTCCGACACCATTCATCCCATTTAGAGGTGGACGACAGCACTGGTAGTGGTCATCTGAGCGCCATCGCCACTACATTCCAACCGTTCCAATCAGCCGCTGGTGCTCTCCGTATCGCCGCCAGTGTCCCACATAGATTTCGCATGAATTGCGCAAAAAGGCAATAAGAAATTAGCGAAAGTTCATGATTTTTCGTGGATTCAGAGAGCAGCAGATGGAGGCGCGCGTGTGTGTGTGTATGTGTCAGCGGGCAGTGCAGAGGAGGGTTTTATCAGAATCAGCAAAGTTCAAATCATATTTGATAGATGGGGATGGAATCAGTAAGGTTAAATGATGCGCATGCACCCAACAGCCCTTCCTCTTCATTCGCCGCTCGTCCCATTCATTTCGTCACACATTCTCCTCCATTTCCAGGTCTTTCGCAGTGCCCCCTAATATATCATGCATTAAATGTATTTACTCATGTAGCCAATGGTCGAAGAGGGAAAAAAAAGGAAACAATTTGATCAAATTTGTCCTTTCTTATTTATTCTTAGTACCTTCTTTGCTTTCTTTGCACATCATCTTGTGTCTGAATTTAGTAGCTTTTCTTGCAGTAATTCGCGCAAAATTTACTTCTCCAAATGTGAACTGGGCGACTATCTTACTTCGTTCCTTTTATCTCACTTCATTGATCTCTAACTTTTTTCATTTATTGTATG